GACTTTGCAGACTCTTGGTAAGTCATTTCCCAAAACCCCATCTGTGATTCTTTGAGTCTTTGCCTCCAGACAACACATTCCAGAGAAATGACAGCTGGTATTCATGTAATGAAGGAACCTGGTTGCTTTCTCCTGAGTACCGTCTGAGGTATTGGCCATGGATGGTATGAGCAAAGTTATCTGAAAGGAATAGAGAGGCTTACCTTTTTGTATTTCCTTTATTTTCTTTGCTTGCTTGTAGTAAATTTCCATTTGAGCCCTCCAGTGGGATTTGGCTGAAGTAGAGCAGGAAGAGGAAAGACTGGCAGAGCTGGGATACAGATGGGTGCTGGTCTTCCAGGACAATCTGGACTGCACAACTGAGCTGGGAGATGTCTGGAGTTTCTTTTGTGTGCTGAGGTCCACTACCAGTGCCTCAGCTTGTGCCTGCTGCCCTCAGGTCTGGGTCTGCCTATTTCTAAGCTTATGAAAACACAGCAGCTGGCCTCTTCTCAATGTCAGCAGCCCAGCCTGAGCTTTTGGCCATGTGTAGTGATTTATTTTTATATCCTGAGTGCCTAGCTCAGTGTCTGGCATGGGTCTTCTATAAATATTTGTGAATGAGTTGGTGACTGGCCAGTGAGGACAATGTCTGCCAGGGAGCCTCACTACAGGAAGAACAGTGTCTGCCCAGGAGTACCACCCCTGACTGCTTGAACTCTCTCTAGCAGACACAGATTGACAGGGTTCAGTTTTATTCCTCTCTGGCTATCTTTTGTATACCTCAATTTGGGGTTGGGTCCCCTGGGGCATATCATGTCAAATTCTCTGTCGTCATCTCTCCTGTACTGTTACCTCCTTGTAGGCAGAGGCTGACTCCCCAGATCCTGGCACTGTGCTGGCACGTGTGTTGGAAGGTAAGATAGAAACAAATGGCAATTTGTGAACTGAGAAGGAGTGGGCCACTGATAGATGATTAGAACCAGAGCTGACTATACCCTACCATGATTTGGCCCTCTCATGGTGCAGGTGGTTGCCAGGAATTGAGAGGATGGGCCCTGTACTTAGGGCCTATGGCCTCCCAGAGCAGGGACCAGAATTGAGCACATATCACTGGTTCCACACGCTGTTATTTTTGCTGGTGATTCTGAATGTCCTCCTTAGCTTCTGTGTGCTAGGCCAGGATTTTGCACGTGTGAATGTGTGTATATATATATACATGTGTATGTGTCTCTTCACCTAATTTGCTCTTTTTTTACTATGTTAATCCAGTGAATGTCACTGAATGTGTTGCAGACCATGTTCCCTGTGATCATGAAACTCCAGGAGTCCATGTTGCTGATGGCCTGGTTTGGTGTTCTGAGTAGTGTGCAGGCTGAATTCTTCACCTCTATTGGTATGTGCCAACAGAACTGTCATCTTCCTGACCATACCTTAGCTCAAATGCCAGGTGATGTCACTGCCTGACGCTTATTCTCATTCAGAATGGGATGGCTTCATCTACTGGTTTTGACCAACTCTAGAGTGAGTGGAGCTTGCAGAATTGCTGTTTTCCCTGCTGAGATCCTGATGATGTGGATAATTTGAGAGCCAACTCTGAATTGGGTCCTTCTCCCTGGGAAACACAGGCTGTACTTGGCCTTTCTGGCCTTTTTGACCACCCTGCCCCTAGACAACAAAATGTTCTGAGGATCTAGCTCTTCTCTGTCTGATCTGAGGATGAAAGCTTTTTTCCCCAGTGATGTGACCATCTGGGTAACAGTGGGCTGCTTCTTGAGTGTCTCCCAGTGCACTTATCCCAAACATCCCCCTGGTGCAAATGCCTTTCTCTTCCTGAAGTTGGGGGCCAGGGCCATGTAAATGCTTAGAGCTTCTTTAACCCCAAGTCTCTATGACCCCCAGAGAGGTAACATGTTCTTGGCCTGGGGAATAGCTTCTACGCTGGTATTCTGTGCTCCAAGGGAGGGGCCTAGACATCCCTCATTCATTTCTTAGGGGCTCTTTCTTCTTTTCCTCACAGGCCACATGACTGACCTGATTTATGCAGAGAAGGATCTGGTGCAGTCTCTGAAAGAGTACATCCTTGTGGAGGAAGCCAAGCTGTCCAAGATTAAGAGGTATCTAATGTCCTAAGTCCCAACACCCACCCTGAGTCAGCTTTTTTCCACCCTTCCTCCAAAGGAAACCATTCTGGGTGCTTGTAAGGGGAAGCCCTTGAGAGGGTGATGTGGGACTGGCCTGGAGGTTACTTCATGCCAGTCCTTCAGAGTAGCCAAGTACCTGGTACATCCACTAAGGAGTCAGTTTTTTTTTTTCCTGTTATAAGACCTTTATGCTTAAATTGGGCTTCTCAGCTCTTATCTAGATTAAGGGGCTAAAGCTTTCCAGCTCTTATCTAGATTAATGGGTATCTGTGGGAGTTATTATACCCATTTTTTTTTTTTTT